CACTAGTTGTGCATCAAAGGGATTTGACAAATACGATTAGAATACTTTTACTTCTATAATTATATTTGTGTTCCATACAAAATTTTATTCTCATTCGAATTCTATGAATATGAGTCAGGCTAACTCAATTTGAATCATCAATCAAATGAAAAATATTTTATTCTTGTACATTCCGAGATGGAGAAATATGCTTTGGAGCTTTATGCGTTCAATTATTTTCTTTAATTTCACTTATACGAAAATGTTGCGGCTTTAGTTGATATGTGTATAGCAATATGGATTATATGTTTTCCTAATAAAACTTGTTGCCCCTAATGATGCTTAATTTGGTGCTTGAATAGTTGATTAGAAGAAGATCGGCCTCCTAATGGTTGATACTCTTGTTGAATGAGAGACTTAAAATCATTGTAGGTTGATCTAGATTTTTTTTAAGAACATGCAAATCAAATTGAAAAAAAAAAAGGTAAATCAGAAACTAAATCCAAGCTTTAAATCTGAATTATACTGTCATGTACCGATTATGGAGATGAGTCGAGTAGGATGAAGTGAAGGACCTCTACTTTATATATGTATCCGAGCTCAGTTAATATTATGTTAAGGTTTATTAGTAGTTATATTTTGGGCTTTGTTATTAGTAGATGCAATGGGGCCTGTTATGAGATGTAGTAGTTACTAAGTGAGTTAATGGTAATAGATTTATTTCGAGTCAAATCGAATCGAAAATATTCGAATATTCTAAACAGTCGAATACGAATGAAAAAATAAGTTCGTTAACGAATCGAATACGAATTCGAATCTTCGAATATTTTAACGATTCCAAATCGAATATCTGAGTTGTTTACAACCCTAATTAGGACGCACTCTGAGTGGTTATTAAAGGGTGAAAAACGTGAAATGGAGTAAGAATTTGGATGCCAAAATTCTCTCTCTCACTCTCAATTTGTCTCTCCTCTAATACTGTCTCCATCCTGTCTCTCGCTCTGTATCTATCTCCCTCCCCAATTCTCATCTCATCATCTATCTTAAAAAAAAAAAATACAGAAAAATCCTACAAAAATACAGAAAAAATCGAGTTCATAACCTATACCAGCCTTCAATTCCACAATAATTGAAAAGTAAATAGAAATCGATACATACCATGGCTGATTGGGAACTCTTTTGCTTCTTGTCGACTTGAATATGGCGGCCTGACAATTGAGATTAGTAACGATAATGGCGAAGCACAATAAAGGGTCTGTTTCGTGTTCACTGATTTATTGAGGTTATGTGCTTTTCGCTTTTTTAGCTTTTTATTTATGAGTCGGTAACACTCCTTTTTGCTGGTTGCAGTAAAGTCTGTAGGTGGATCTTGTGAATTGTATTACAATATTACATTCGTCAGATATTGTTATATTTATTTTTCTTTCTGGAAATTACTATTGATTTGGAATTTGGATTGTCTTAATTAATTGAAAAAAAAGATCTACGAGATTGAATGGAAGAGTGAGGAACCATGAATTTGATTTCGTTTGTCTGATTCGAAATGGAGTCTCTTCCAGTAGAGGTCGTTGGGAACATCCTGTCGCGGCTCGGGGCCGCCCGTGATGTCGTGATTGCATCTGCCACTTGCCGCAAATGGCAAGAGGCTTGGAGGAATCATCTCCACACGCTCACATTCAATTCAGACGATTGGCCTTTGTACCACGAGTTCTCGACCAGCAGGCTCGAGATAATCATTACTCAGACCATTTTCCAGACCAAAGGCCTGCAGTGCCTCTCCATAATCATGGATGATGTCGATGAATTCTCGGCTGCACCTGTTATTGCCTGGCTTATGTACACTCGAGAAACCCTGCGCCAACTGCACTACAACGTGAGGACAACTCCGAACATCAACATGCTCGACAAGTGTGGCCGGCAGAAGCTCGAGGTTTTAGCTTTGTCTCACAACACGATCACGGGAGTCGAGCCCTGTTATCAGAAATTCCCATGCCTGAAATCTCTCTCCTTGAGCTATGTCAGCATATCAGCCCTTGATCTAAGCCTCCTGCTTACTGCCTGCCCGAAAATCGAATTCTTGAATCTGATCAGTCTCGATATTGTCATGTCTGATCCCCAGGCGACAATGGATTTGAGCAGTTCCTCTTTGAAGGATATTTATGTAGAGGCAATCAGTTTGGATAAGTTTATTCTCGAGGCGGATAGCCTCGAGAAGTTGCACCTGAAGGACTGTACACTCGAAGTTTTCGATCTTGTGGGTAAGGGGATGTTGAAGTACCTGAAGATTGATGATGTAAGTGTCATCCATCTTGATATCGGCGAGAGTGCAGATAATTTAGAGATTGTCGACGTCAGCAACTTCACGATCATGTGGGCGAAATTCCATCACATGATCTCACGATCGTCCAAGCTGAGAAAACTTAGGTTGTGGGGTGTTGTGTTTGATGACGAAGACGAATTTGTCGATATCGAGACGATTTCGTCGTGCTTTCCTTTACTTCGCCATTTGTCACTGAGTTATGATCTGAGAGAAGCTGCACTTCAGTATGGGTTACAAGGTTCTTTCATGTTGGACAATGTGATTGTCCTGGAACTTGGTTGGACGGTGATCAGTGACCTTTTCTCGACCTGGGTTTCCGGACTTCTCGAGAAGTGCCCTCGTCTGAGGAAATTGGTCATACATGGGGTTGTATCTGAGACCAAAACCCACGAGGAGTGCAACATGCTGGCCAGCTTTACCTCGTCTATTGTGAGACTCATGAGGAAGTATATGCATGTGGAAGTTCAATTTGAATATGAATAGCTTCTTACTATTTCGGAGGCTTTGCTGCTGGATATGGGCTACACAGCAGATGTTGATTCTCAATAGAGAATAGATTCTACTACTGTCTGGTCAGGTAATTTTGGAGTATATCAAGCAGTTGTTGGGTTTACTATTCTCTTTGCTCAACTTTCAAGTCATGCTTTCTAGTTGTTGATTATTGTCCGTTATAATTTGAAGGAAAACAACATGTCTTTGTTCTCCGTCTTTGTTCACTTATGAAGAAGCTTCCGACAACATTATGTTGCTATGTTTATAATTTGATTTGATGTCCATTCTTTTGAACTGTACACATTAATATGTTCCTCCAGGCAGTAGAGGCTTTTGAATTTTGTTAATGTGGAGAACATAACCTTTTAATTTAGGTTAATTAGTTGTGGCTGAGATATGCTATTTTTTACTACATTTTCCTCTTTACATTACATTATTTTGCTTCTTTCTTTTTTCCTTTATGTGGGTTTAGCCTATATTCATAGGCATTGCCATTAATTATATACTTCGTTGAGCTTGTCGTATTTGGTGATGGCCCGGTGAGGTGGGGTTATGTTTGTGAATCACTAAGGCTAAGTTTGATAAACTTAGCTCATAACTTTTAAGTGAATTTCGAGCTTATAGCTGGTAACTTATAACTTATGGTTGAAAAACTAACTTTTATATGATAAAATTGTGTGGTAAAATTAGTTGTTCTAGCTTAAATAAAAATTTCAAAGAGCTTATTTGGAAAGTTATTCAAAGAAACTTATGAGATAAGCTCGATTTTTTTTTTTTAAAAAAAAAACTCATTTTACAAACCAAAACTTTTGAATATAGGAAACTGATAAGCTAATCAAGTAAGGTATAAGCTAACTTATATGCTGACCAAAATACAACCTCTGTGGGATGGAGACACCTAGCGAGGTAGTCAGCTGGTCGGTTTCCCTCTCAAGGATTTGTCACAAATTTGAAAATTCCAACAAAAAAGTAATGGAAAAACCCTAAATTCAAAAGCCTCAAACACTAGCATCGCACAACAACAGAGCAAACGACAATGCAGACGACGACGCCTTACACTGCAGTTGACCAATCGACTGATTCAAATCCAAATCCGTACTAGAGACAACCCCCGAGAACTCCTGATGCAAAACCTCTCGTCCTCCTCGAGAAACCGAAAGATGTCCATGAAAAAGTCGGCCCAGTCAAGAAGCGCGGAAAAGATTGGGAGGTTGAAGAATCAGGTGGGGAACACGAGTCGGACGCGCTCTGCGACGACATAAAATGCGACTGATCCGACTGGGCCGCGGCGGAGTGGGGACAACAAGTCATCATTATCAGGTCGACCGCGATAGGTGAGGCTCGTGTTTCTCCACTTTCAAACGACATGCCGCAGACGCACTATCTCGTCTTTTTACTTCTATTTCAATAAATTAAATTGATCCTTGTAACTTAGTGTGTAATATAGTTTTTTAGGAATGTGATTATATAAAAGTGATAAAATCGAATATACCCAAAAAAAATCTGCTTGTGATCTTTTAAATGTTTGAATTTGTATTTTTCAAAAAAAATTCAAAACCCCATTTAGGTGGGAATTTTTCGAAAAATTTCAAAAGAAAATTGTATGTTTAGTTACTTTACAAATTTTAGGTCGGATTTTAATTTCTATTACAAATAAATTCCTATTGCTTTTGTTTTTATATTTATTATAGATAGATGGTTTTGTATTCAGATAAATATTCTAATAGATTTTTTATTTGATTTGGTTTTTGATTCGAAATTAAAATTGATTTCAGATTCATTTTTGAAAAAGAAAAATCGATATAATTTCAGATTCGTTTCTTTTATTTCAAAAAAATGTTTCAGATTCAGTTTTTGAAAAAAAAAAATAATAATAATTTTATATTTGATTTAGAACAAAAATTTCTTTCAATTCAATGATAAGTCTCTGTGACCTCACATCTATGTAACATCTCACACAGTCACTCAAAGAAGAAAAACACTGAAGCTTTTAGCTCATTGAACATTTGAGGCACAAATGAAATGTCTCTCTTTCTAAATTGTTTGTAAGGATCCCATGACACGATGAAGATCCCCAAAGTGTTTGGTATAACTAGCTGAACGCTCTTTATTACAACAAAAATCTACACAGTTCAATACAGAATATGGCTGCTAACATGAAGCTTCCGAAAAAGAACCTTACTAAACGAGCCAAAAAAATGTCGCGTTTTCAAGCCACAAGCATTTGTACAATCGAATTTGCTCTCCCGTCAGCATACAGAAACATATGGCCCGAGCCCTTCAGCTCTTGATATTTAATCCATGGGAGCTTGTCTGCAATGTAACGTTGTAAGGCCACTGGAACAAGACGATCTTCATCCCCTTGCCACAAGTGAACCGAACCCTCGCCTTTCGAAAATGGGTTCTCTATATTTGTCGGATCGAATTCCCATTTTCCGAACCCGATCATCATATCACGGTGAATCGACTCGTACTCTCCCTGCTGTCTTGTTACCCCCTGCTAACCGGAAAAGAAAAGAAAAAAAAAAAAATAATGAAATTTATGACATGTTGGGGAAAAAAAAAAGAAAAGAAACAAAGCAAACTACCTGATGATCTCTTAAGGAAATGATTTTCGGCAATAATTCCTTGTCTTGATCGGAAAAAATTGCCGAGTTGCCTTCAACAACGCTCGAAGCAGGGAAAAATTTTTGGGAGTTCCACCAGTAAGTAAGCCATGGCATGTAGTGAGCTACACGGAGGGCCCACTGGTCTTGTTTGGGCTTCAACTCGAACGCAGGCCCAGACAGGTTTGAAGGGAATGCCGGCCACCAATAATTGACCACCGGAGCTATAAGAGCCGCTCCCGATAATCTGTTCGGCATTATAATAATGTCAACATTGTTATATCCTTTGCTTAAAAAACTAATTTTAGAATTTCATTCAAGCAGTCAAATATATTCTGTATTCCTCAATGTATTGGGATGAAAATGAAACGAACCTGCGAGGAATGTACTTGAGGCAGCTCCACACGACCTGCCCGCCCATGGAAAATCCAATGACGTAAAATTTAGATCCTAAACCCAATCGATCTGCAAGCTCCTCAATATCCAAAGCTAAGCTCTTCACTGTTCGTGTAGGGTGAGGATCACTCTCTCCATAACCAGGCCTATCGAACGAGACTATGTAGATTCCTTTACTTTCAACCATATCCTGTAAATGCTTTTACAAAATTAACCAAAAAAAAAAGAAAGAAATAAAATAAAAAAGGAAAATTCTCTTCCTCCTCTGTTTAAACTTTGCAGTAACAGAAGCTGAAAGTTAAAAGCCATTTCCCTTTTTTTTTTCAAAAAAA